GGAAAAAAACTCGCTGAAAGCGAATTTTAGCAATCAACACAACTTGACGTAGAGACATGATTGGCTAAAAAATACAACGGTTTTTGATACATCGGAAAATCAACCAAAAATCGGAGACTGGGCGAAACGCTCAAGGTCGCAGAGGTATAGGGAATCCCATAGCGAAAGCATCGGAACGATTCTAATATCATGGGGAACTCCGTTCCCATGACAAAATACAGTCCAATTTGGTATTTGACTCGAGCCTCGCAGAAATTGTCAATTATATTATGCTATGTTCAAAGCATCCTTGCACCTCTCTTAGTAACGGGGTAAATCATGGGCCCCAGAAGACATTCCCTGCGTAAGATGCAACTATGACCTTTGAATGACCCTATGAATTTGACCTTTGATGGTTTATCTGAATGAGCCCATGGTCATTATCTGTATAATGTATCGCCAAAAGCATGTATTTCATTACCGCTCATCTTTTAATCCAAAATTATAAATTTAAATCGGAGGTTATTTGTTTTGAGCATTTGAAATTCTAAGAAAGGGGACAATGTCGGGTTAGTTCCGACTCTGCGTTGGTTTTGTTGTGCCTCTGAGGTTGAGACAAGCGATGCATCTATCGACACAATAATACCTATTCGTGCTTCCCTGACGGGCACATAGCATAACTAATCAGTTGAAGGCACCTTTTCGCGTTTGGAGGCACGTTCCCGCTGAAAATAATTTTTTGAAGTTGAATCTTGAAAACGGCACCCCACTCACTTACTGCCAACACGACGTTTAAGGTGATTCGATGAACGCCACATTTTGTGGCAGAACGCCATGCAATATATCGCATCAATTGGTTCCATTTTTTCAGCTACTTGTCATTTTTCTCCAATCATTGTCATCCCCAGTCACATTTCTAAGGCGCAATGATACAACTATTTGAACTCTCCGGAATGCGTGAGGTATAACGCCGCACTTGAAAGCGTTTTCAAAACAGCCAAGTTCCGATACCTGGATCATCGTTTTGCAAAGTTCCTATTATTATGTTTTATTCCGTACAACTTGCTTATTTTTAATCCTCGTTTAAAAACCACCCATTTACTAAATATGATTCTAGCTGGAGTGCACTTCAGCTATGCATTTACCACTGCAAAAATGTCAAAGGAAATCGACAAGCCCAGCGTGCATGGAGGCTATTTCAATATTTTGAGATCGCAATTCTGTTGTCAGAAGACTAAAGCACTGACTTCCCAAATTTTAACAAAGAAATTCAACGTAATAAAGGCGTGGTTTTTTCAGAGAGAAAATATCGCATTCGAGTGCAGTTTCGATATCAGTAACGAATGCGATGTTTTCTCTCTGAAAAAACCACGCCTTTATTACGTTGAATTTCTTTGTTAAAATTGGTAAGTGAGCGCTGTAGTCTCCTGACAATAGAACTGCGATCTTAAAATTGAAGGAAAATGACGAGTGGCTGAAAAATTGGAACCAATTGATGCGATACATCGCACGCCGTTCTGATACAAATATGGCGTCCATCGAATCACCGTAAGTAATTTGTCTCAATTTTTCAGTTTTTCCAAGAATATGAAAAGACTCTCGGCCATATCACAGGATTTTACATCCCGAGCCCTGGACAAAGCCGTTTTCTGGATAGAACACGTGGCTCGACATGGAGGAGCACCTCATTTACGCCCGACAACTGCCGATGCGACCCTCTCTGAATATTTCTGCCACGACGTTATAGCTGTGATCTTAGTTATAGTTTCTGTCGTTTCAATGGGCCTGTTGCAAACTTTTGCTAGAGCAAAAATAAGAGTTGTTTCTTACAGAAAATGCCTCAAAAATCACGATGAGCGCATCGGCAAAGTCTGAAATGCACTCATAACTTCACAATCTGCGTAAGAAATGTGCGTTCTTTTGAGCTTCCCGCTTCAAAAACGATACTACGGCACAGGTGAACATTTTGTTAGAGGAGTCGTTCCATCGTCGGCAATATTCATCATGGCCGCTGCTTTCGCAGTTCCGTGCGTGATTCGGGGAGCAGGCGAAGAAAATATGAGCGTAAACACGCCGATTGTTATCTGGTCTAATCCTGATGAGGTGTTATCTCGTCCCATCACACGTGTTTTGGCGGATTACCGTCTGCAATGATGAATATTGCCGACGATGGGACGACTCCTCTAACAAAATGTTCACCTATGCTGTAGTATCGTTTTTGAAGCGGGAAGTTCAAAAAACCGCAAATTTCTTACGCAGATTGTGAAGTTATGAGTGCATTTCAGACTTTGCCGATGCGCTCATTGTGATTTTTGAGGCATTATCTATAAGGAATAACTATTAGTTTTGCTCTAGCAAAAGTTTGCAACAGGCCCGTTGTCGTCTTCTGTGTGGTCAAATTTTTGATATCCGTGATGTTTAGGCGCTCATCCGTTGAAAAAATCAAAGAACCATGATTTTGAGCACGGAATTGGTCTTTTTCAAATCGCAATTTGTCCAAAGCATATTGGATATGGTCAAAACTGATTCTCGTCGATTTTTAACCATCATTACTTCACGTAGAACGGTGAATTTATGGTTAAAATGATACAAACTCCGCTTAGGTGCTACATGGTAAGAAAAAGTAAACGACATTTTGTATTAATATGGGAAATAGAACAAAAAGTAAATTGGACCGAGTTGAGCTGAATAAAACCAAGTCACGTCAGATGTTGCCAAATTCAATTGAGCAATTTCCAAAATTTTTACGCGATATTTTCGTTCATTATATTTTCTGTTAATGTAACAAAAAAAAAAAAATTAAATATCATCCAAGTTTCTGAATCGTTACAATTAGGATACATATTTTCCCATTAATCATAGTAAAAACTGGAGCAAAAAGTGAAGAATGATAACACGCAGTCCTAAAGCATTCTTACAGTCTTGTAGGCGCTAATGTGCATTTCACGCCACCTGACCTACTGCACTGCGTTTGACGCAATGCGAGAAGTATCCACGCAGTTTTGTAGGCGCTTATATGGGCCTGACGCTGACCGCACTGTTTGGTGCAATGCGTGAAGTATTCCTAAAGCCTTGCAGGCGCTGATATACGCTTAACCGTGGTCGTAATGTGTTAGGCGCGATTATTCGAGCTCGAATTAGAATAATCGCAACATCGAATAAAATAGCTTAATAAGCCAATGTTGTGTTTCGACGCCGTAAGAGCGTTCCAACGTCTCGTTTCTCCCGATTAAATATTTTTTTCCGAAAAAAGTTAGGAAAGTTCTGTAAGCCCACGACCATTTCTCAATCTTTTCACTTCATTTATCGTCAGAAGGTTAGACATCGATAACTTGTGAAAAAACTAACCTAAACTAGCGTTAACATAAAAATGCGTTTATTTTCCAACTGTTTCCTTCTTTGCTAAACTTCCACCTTAAATTAACTTGATTTTAAATTAGCGCATTCCTGTGGCAGATGTTAAGGTTTCTATTCACGCACTGATTGAGCCATTTTCGCGCATTCCTCATTTATATTCTTAGACCTTTCGTGCAATCCTTGATTACTGGCAAGCATTGAGACTCGGTACAAGTATCGAGCAGTTGATATCTCGGCGACCGCAAGAAAGCGCGCCATATACATGGCGCGCTTAGTACCTATACTCTCGTTACGACTGTAAATCTAATATCCAGATGTAAAGGCTCTCTTATTTTTCTCACATCATACATTTCCTCCGCATTGGACTTTAGGTCTTTTGACTCGTTTGCTCCAGATGGGAGTAGGATTTTTAATACTCCGAGATTTTTACGAACCTTAAATAAACTTCAAGAATCAAACTTACGGAATATATCTTTGCAACGGTTTACAATGATTTGATACCACAAAATATAGAGAATTTTTTTTTAAAGTTCAAACAATTATTTTATTTATTAAATGACAGGGTAAAAATATAGAGAATGCACATTTGAAAAAGAAAAAATATGATTGTTAAAAACTTTCCAGATGTGTACAGACCTACCTTGAAATCTTTGAATTTCGCATTATTTTTTTTTTCTCGTGTTACATCGTTCATGGTGGCAAATAATTTTATTCCCTCGTCAATATTTACTTCCAAAATTTTGCAACTGACTTGAACTTGAGGTTTGTAAAAATGTGTCCTTCTTACGATGGTGCGTCGGAGGCCAACCTAATCGCACAATGTTAACCATATGAGGTCTCCCTGAAGAACGACAAAGAATATGACCCAAATTTGTAAAGTCAAGTTTAAAGATATGACGCAGCCAAAATTCCACACAGTCGAGTAGGCAAGAATCATAAAAGCTGTTCAAATTGTCATTTCTCAGATATGAAAACTTTCGAAAAACAGTCGCAGGAATTCGTCGTTATGTAAGTGTAAAATACATCTGTCACTCACTTCATATCTTCATATCTGAAGGACACCTAATTTACTGAATGAGAGCGATCAATCAAACAATCTAGAAGGTCTAATTTAGAAAAAAATTGACTCTGTTAAAAGTGAATACCGAATAGTACAAATTGATTAGTGCTACACAATTTCAGGCAAGCATCGACGTTTTTCATTTTCATTTTCCTCCTACAGTGAAGTGTTAGAAGGTGAGATTTTTGTGCGACTACAAGAAAAGGTTATTGTTTTACCCGACTGTATTGACTTGAATTTTCAAAAAGAATTTTTTTTTTTTAAATGACAGTTTGGAGACGGATTCTAGATTAGAACCTTTTGCGCTGGAGAGGCTCCTGAGGTAGGAAAAAAAATTGGCCCCCTAAATTTGCAAAAGGGATCTGCCTCTGTAAAGTTTAAACTACCTCTGTAAACTTTTTTTATGAGGAGACAAAAAAAAGGTACCGAGAGAAAATATGATTCCCATATCCATTTTCATCATTCTATCACTGGGAGTTCTGCAGACAGAGGCCTTTAAAATTTTAGTTTTCTTCCCGATGCCATCATACAGCCACCAACGTGCCATATTATCCTTGACGGAGAGGTTAGTGAGAGACGGCCACGAATTGTTCGTTATTAGTCCTAATGCAGTGCCGGTAAGCATATTTATGGATACAATATTCTTGCTATTTAAATAAAAACTGCTAAATAAAAATTGCTATAAACAATATTTATTTAAATTGTGTATTTTCACAACTTTTCAAAAAGTTGGAGACGTTACAAGGTGTTCGGATGTTAAATACACACATTGAAAAGACGAGAAAATTTACTTTATCCCTAGCCAAGTTTCGGGAGAGGTTATTTTATATAATCTGTGATTTTTTCTGAAAAGCGTTAAAAATCATAACAGCGCTAATCAGTCTTTAAAATATCGATGTCCAAAGTACGAAACCATGCATCTTAATTTGCGGCGTTGCAGACTTCCTGTCATAACTTGATTTTTTGTGTGGAAAATAAGTCAACGTAAATTCTTGAAAACTCTCTTGATTTGCCCTCTCTGTTTATTTTTGAATATTCTAGATTACTTTAATGCTAAAAAGTTGGCTTGTTTTTTCTCTTGGAGATTAAAATTGTGGCGGAAATTTTGAAACACCAAAATATAGATACACGGTTTTTTACTTTGCCCATAGATATGAGAGAATGTTTCCTATTCTGTCTATAAACTGCTCTGCTCCTCTAAGGAAGAACGCCGTAAGTACATTCGAATGTTGTCAATATTCCACTGATAAAAAGTTTATTCGGAAAGAAGGTTTCGGACGTATCAAATGAGATAGCGATTAAAATTGTCTGAAAAATTAGAGGAAAAATATTTACACTTTTTTCAATACGTTCGTAATTTATCAAAGAAAATTAGGCATCGTCTAAAGTTTCAAAATATTAGGCGCGAATTAAAAGCAAAAGTGATCGGCTTATGCTCACTACTAGCTGATGCTTAGAAATAAAACATGCCTGCATGACTAAAAAGGCTATAAATCCTGATCACGAATGACAGGCAAAAATAGGAAAAACAATTGACCGTCTCTTTTCAAATAATTAAATGGATTGCAATTTGCATAAAGGAACCAATAGCATTGCAATGTTGCTATAATTGTGCATCATCTTTTGTCTTGGAAGAAAAACCTGATTATCCATTAACAGCTCCTATTTTACTCGCTAAAAACCAATTTAATTTTATTGCAAAGGAAGAGGTTGCACAATCTTAGCACCATTGCAATGCTTCGGGTTCCTTTTTGCAAAATTCAATCTAAATATCATGAACAATCTTCATTGATTCTGTAGGGTTTGGAGTCGCATGCTAACTACACGTATGTGGACGTTTCTTTTGCTTACGAATACTTTGGGGACCCGAGTAAAGACAAAAACAAAGATGAGACTACGGATCTTCAGACTAGAATTTCAAAGTGGGAACTTCCTCGCACGTGCATCACGGTGGCGAGTATTGCCAGAAAGCAATTTGAGAGTGAGGCTTTTCGTAACTTCATAAGGTAAATTTTTCCCTCCTATATTTTTCAGATTTGAAAGATAGATCGTCCCGAAGATCTCATCTCGCAACATTAAATAGAAGTATTTATATCCTGAAAGAAGCTGTTTGCAAAAATGAATGAAATGAGAGGAAGTACGATTCTCCCAATCCTAAGTAGAATTCAACGGAGAAACTCCCAAACCACGTATCTCAGTTTGCGACGTTGCCGACTTTCTGCCATACTTTATTTCTCGAATAAAGGACTACTCAACGTCTATTCTTGGATATAGCGTATGCACCAATAGTTTATGTATGCACATAGAGTTTGAGCCACAATACTGCCGTGCTTAGGAAGAACGCCGTATGAACATTTGAGAGTTGTCGAATTTCCTCCAGTAAAATTTTACTTTTTCAGGAAACTTATTTCCTTCAAAATTTTCAGATACTATAAATTAAATTGCAATAGAAATCCTGCAAAAAATTGGTATACAAATATCCACAAGTTTTCAAGGAATTTCGTATTTTATCGAAGGAAGTTTGGCAATACCTGAAAGCTCATACGGCGCCTTTTCTTAGCACGGCAGAATAGCAGTTCAAAATTTCAAAGTGAGGTCCAATTTGATCAAAAAACCCAAATTTAAAACGTCGATATGATGCTTCATCATTTATGATCAAAAATTTCATATTTGATTTTTCCTTCTTCTAACTATCGGGAGACTCTCTAAGATCCCTTTTAAACTGACCATTTCAGACGCGTGGAAACAGAGCGCATTCGATTTGATGTGGCGATCATCGAGACCTGGTTTACACCCTTCACGTGCGCATTAACTCGTCTAATTTCTGGATCCACCCCGATCATATCCATGTCAACGGTGAATGCAGACATAATGGCCGAAGACTCCTTGGGTAGCATCACCCACCTATCATTCGTGCCGGCAATATTCGGTGAATTCACTCATAGAATGAGCTTATGGCAAAAAATAGAAAATTGGATTTATCATTTCTATTACACTCATACGGTGAAAAACGCCATGGATTTGGCGGCCAGGAGTTACTTCAGAGATAATTTTGGTCCTAGTTCAGAGCGCTTGGTTGATGGCTGCTTTTCCAACGCCAGCTTGTCGATTGTCGTTTCAAACTCGGTGTATTCCTATCCGAGACTTTTGGGCCCGAATGTCATCGAAACTGGACCTTTGCACCTAAAACCACCCGGGAGATTGCCAAAAGTAGGTAATGAAACAAGCTTATACTGATAATAAAAGAACAACTTAATCTGGGGAAAAGGCTGCAAATAAAGAACAGAGAATAAACAAAACCCGGAACGTTTCAAAATAGTTACAATTTCATTTTCAACCGGAAAATAAATTGTGACTATTTTGAAACGTTCCGGATTTTGTTTATTATTTGTTCTTCATTTGCAGCCTTTTCCCCAAATTAAGTTGTTCTTTTATTATGTGTATTTTGGCTGATTAAGTTGTTTCTCATTCTTATACTGATACTCTAGAAGTATCGATTCGTTTATTTTTAGTCTTATTTCTGATTGGGTCATTTTGGTTTTTACGAATTTTGAAACAATAAGCTGGTTCAATAAGTTTTGATTCTTGCATTGTAGAAAAGAAGAGACTGAATTTAACTGAAGTTTCCTGGATTTTTGATTGGGTTTGGGACACTCTTTTGCGGCTTAACGTCGTTCGGAAAAATCCCAGAAACCTTCTGCAAACCAGTATCGCTCTAGTTTTTAGAATACAAGAATTAAAATACATATATCAGTGAACAAGCTCCTAACCAAGCTGAAATCATCCAACCAGCGGGAAAATGAGGAAGCTTGGACACGGAATATTCTCTGATATACACATAAGTATTTTTTAAATTGATAACTATCCGTGCTCTATGGCATGCTTCTTGCATATGCGGCTAAATTGAAGGCGAAACTCAAATGGAAGATATCCACAAGATCGTCTACTGGCTCTACCAAAGCTTATTGATAAGATAAATGTGGATTTTACAAGTGGATTCGCACTCTCTGGTAGTTTTGTTGCCTATGCGGTGAAATTGAAGGCAAAATTCAAATGATCGATACCTAGAAATAAAGTTGAGTTTCCTGTAAAATTCAACACAAAGCGAAAAACTCGAACCTTAAATCTCCGAAACTCACTACAGCTATCTTATCCTTTTTTTTGTCGCACTATAGGGTTTCAAAATTTCCAAAATGGAATTTTTAAATTTCATGCTCCGTTTTCAGAATTTACAAGACTGGCTTGATGGTGCGGAGAAAGGTGTAATTTTTTTCAGTCTTGGAAGCAATATGAGAAGTAAATCGTTACCTGTGGTCGCAAGAGACAATTTGTTGAAATTTTTCAAGGAATTGCCACAAGGATACAGGGTTTTGTGGAAATGGGAGCTTGATGGAAGAATCCCCGGACAATCAAACAATATACTCACTCAAAAATGGATGCCGCAGGAAAGCGTTCTGGGTGAGGCCTTTTAATTTGCAATTTTACAATTTTTTTGTGTTGTAATTTGTGATGTAATTTGCAATTTTACCATTTTTGGTGTGCTTCCACGCAATACAGTTCGCAAATTATTCTTACACAACTATATCCGTTGAAAAGACATAACGACCCGCCCGAGGGACATCAATTGTTAAATGTTCCATACAATGTGAAAAGAAGGGTGTAAACATTTCTATCTTAAATTTTAATTTTTTATGTAATACATTAGGGTGGCCCAATTATACACAGTAAAATTTATTTTGCGAAGTTTTTTGGTCTTACCCCCTAGAACTGTTCCATTTGATCAAAAAACACTCTCTGCCAAGTTTCAGCCAAATCGGATAATATTAACCCGTGCCGACAGAGCCATCTTTTTTATATGGGATTTTACATTGAAAAACACATTTTTCCAGAAAAATCCATTTTTCGAAAAATGTGTAATTTCTAGAAAAAATCTGAGGTCATGTTCGGCTTCAGCAGGAAAAATTAAGTGGGAAAACATGTATTAGACACTTCAAAAAAATTTTTTACCCCTCGTTAAAGCGGCGAAACAACTAAAATATCTAGAAAACGCTAAAAAAGGGTAAAATGACTGAAAAATCCCAAATAATTACGTACGTCTGCATCCGAAAACGAAGCTCAACATATGGTAGGTGTTTCCTATGTACTTTTTTACGCTGAGTCGGAAAATGCTATTCATTTTCCTCCATCCTATCAGGATTTTCCGGAAAATCGATTTTCTTGTATGAAAAGAGGGTTGAACCTCAACATGTGACGGATGTTTTTCTATGTGTTTTTCAACGCCGAGTCCAATAATGATGACAAAGTTTCTGAGTTACATCAGGATTTTCCGGAAAATCGATTTTCTCGTATGAAAAGAGGGTTTTCCAGGGTAAACTCAATTTTCAGGTAATAAACCTCAACATGTGGCGGATGTTTTTTACATGTTTTTCAACGCTGAGTCCGAAAATTATGTCAAAGTTGCTCCATTACATCGAAATTTTCCGGAAAATCGATTTTCTCGTAGAAACAGGGTTTTCCGGGGTACCGAGTTTTCCCTGGAAAGTTACCTGTTTTAACGGGAAAAATTTAGTTCCTCAGAAACTCGTAGTGTAATAGAGGGAAACGGTTATGATTTTCGTATTCACCGTTAAACAACACATAAAAAACATCCGCCACATGTTGAGGTTTATTACCTGAAAATTGAGTTTACCCTGGAAAACCCTCTTTTCATATGAGAAAATCGATTTTCCGGAAAATCCTGATAGGATGGAGGAAAATGAATAGCATTTTCCGACTCAGCGTAAAAAAGTACATAGGAAACACCTACCATATGTTGAGCTTCGTTTTCGGATGCAGACGTACGTAATTATTTGGGATTTTTCACAGTCATTTTACCCTTTTTTAGCGTTTTCTAGATATTTTAGTTGTTTCGCCACTTTAACGAGGGGTAAAAAATTTTTTTGAAGTGTCTAATACATGTTTTCCCACTCAATTTTTCCTGCTGAAGCCGAATATGACCTCAGATTTTTTCTAGAAATTACACATTTTTCGAAAAATGGATTTTTCTGGAAAAATGTGTTTTTCAATGTAAAATCCCATATAAAAAAGATGGCTCTGTCGGCACGGGTTAATATTATCCGATTTGGCTGAAACTTGGCAGAGAGTGTTTTTTGATCAAATGGAACAGTTCTAGGGGGTAAGACCAAAAAAATTCTGACATTGCCAAATTTGGGCCACCCTAGTAATACATACATCTGATGGGAAAATAATGGAGACAATTACGTAGAGGTAGATATTTTGTTTAAATTTTTGAAAATTTTTGATGTTGGTGCCCGCTTATTTCAGCACACCCAAAAGTGAGAGTGTTCATCACACAAGGAGGACTGCAGAGCTTCCAGGAAGCTGTGCATTACGGAGTGCCAACGGTTGGCATCCCGTGGTTTGGAGATCAGGAGTTCATCGCCGCCAAAATGGTAGACGCTGGAGTAGGCGCACAGTTATTGCCGTCGGATCTCTATTCTTATGAGAAAATAAAGGCAGCTCTTGATATGGTGTTGTATGATAAGAGGTATGTTACTACCCTGCTAAATCGTTACCTTACTTTATAAATCAAACTTAAAGTCCTGAATGGAAAATTAATGGTATTATTGGAGAATAATGGAAAGTAATGAAAATTGAATTAGTGAGTTTGAAAACACACCAACTCGGGTTTTCTTTCGATTTTCACTTGTTTACGGTTTAGTAACACTTATGGCTAAAAGCATCTGCACGCAAAAGGAAATTTCGAAATTGCAATCGGGAGTGCTCGAAACAGCGACGAGAAAAGGGAAAAATCGAAGTATTTTATTGGAAATACCAATTTTTGGCCATTTCAAGGGAAACGGGTGACCATCCGATTTTGCAGTTTTATTTTTTCGGTTCAGTATACCTTGTGCCAACAAGTTATATAAATATTAAAGCGTTATTTAATACAAAAAATATAAAGTTTTCAGGGCAGACTATGAAAAATCAGTTTCTAAAAGTCGGTGAGAACGAAAACACACCAACTTGGAAATTTTTAAACGCTTAATCTCTGTCATCAAACATGGTGTATCGGTTTAAACTGGTGCTTTACAAAGTCTCTAAGTACTTGTCCTTTGGCACCAGAAAGGTTTTTCTTAAACTAATTTCTTCGCCCGCTGCGCAGTCTTAGGTGTTTCCTGATCATTTTTTTTTCCGAGTTGGTATGTTTTCGAACTCACTGATTCAATTGATGGAGTGCTTAAATTCAGCGTTGAAATATTAACAGGCGCCTTGAAACTGACTAAATTCAGAAAATCATTGAGTGTTTCTCAGGTGCATGGAAATCCTTTTAGTGATAACAGTGGACTACTAGACAAAGTACGGAATTCAACACAACGATATGTTTCCTTGTCAAAAGTTTACACAGAATATTGTTGTGTCGAAGAGGAACGCCGTAGGAGCCTTCGAAGGTTGCCAATTTACTTTCGATGAAACACCAATTTGTTGGACAATACAATTACACTGCATGTATTAATAGCTTGCCAGGATTGTAAAATATACATTTGGAACACGTCGGACATATTCCTTTTCAATTTAATCGTTAAATTAGCAATCCATTTTTTCTGTGTTGTGAAAATGTGTTCCTCAACAACCAATAATCAACCGATAAAAATGACAGATTTCCGTTATTTATTTTTCTTTCAGATTTTTGAAGAACATGCAGAGGCTTTCTGCTATATCGCGCGATTTTACTGCTCAAGCAATGGATAAAGCCGTGTTCTGGGTGGAGCATGTAGCTCGTCATGGAGGGGCATCTCACTTGAGACCAGCAACCGCTGATACAACACTCTTTCAGTACTTTTGCTTGGATATAATAGCCGTTATACTGTTTCTAAGTTCCCTCATTATGTTTGCTACATATAGGGTATCCAGATTTGTTATTTTATTCATGATCTCAGACAAATTGACGAAAAAAATAAAGAATTCTTAACTGAGGATCTTGTTTAAAGATTAATTATTTTTTTTTAAAAAGGAGAAGAAGAAGACGGAAAAGAAAAGAACATCCTCCGCAGAAAGTCTTGGTACATCGGAACAAAATTTTTTGTTCATTGACTTCTGTAAAGTTGAGTCGAAAACATATCTAAATCTTGATCGATCGGTGAACACGGGTGGGTTTGTCAACTGCGACGTTAATACATCTTCAATCATGTTTTCTTTTCCTCACGCAAAACTATTCAAAACATTTCATTCAAATTTGTGATTTGCTTCCACCTTCTTTTCTTTAAGAATGATTGGCAAACATTCACAGAATATTTCAATATTGCTGATTTATTATAAACTGCTGCCTAGTTATCCTCTTAAAAAGTAAAACATGATCGGAGACACACAACGTCACAATCTGAGATACGTATTTCTCGACTTCAGCCATGCTGTTTTAAATAATAGTATTCTGCTCCCAGGAGGAAAGAAAGTAGGATCAAAGGACTCTGCTAAAGTCATTTTGAAGAAACTCGTATTTTAGAGTCAACTAGAGCGTTCTAAAGTTAAATGAAGTCAAACAAATTAAAATAAATACACTAAAATTGAGTAGTGTATTTCGAGGGAAAACTTTCTTTCACATCCTGAGGAATAAATGAATCAAAAGAGTTGTACCCATTACCGAGAGAACACTAAAGGGTTTTACGTAAAAAACACACAGAGTAAAACAACACAGTGTAAAACAACACATAGTGTAAGATTACACAAATCTAACGGTCTGTCGAGACCGAGCCGGATCCTCGATAGAATTTTATTTTTTTGGCTTTTATGGGAAAACAGAAATTCAAAGAGTACTCACTGACTACCCGAGATAAGAGTTCGATCTTCAAAGAAAAAATATTCAGTATTAAGTCTGGAAACATACCTGAAACAAACAAACAAAAATTCATTAGGAAATGATGAAAATAATCCATCTTACGTGAAAAGCACTACACACATTCGGTTAAAGAAAGTTTTGAATGATCGAAGAAATTTGTAATTAGGGGCCAGTCCCAAATCACGTAACGCACTTTTTCGGCATTTTTGACCCCTTCCCCCTTGTATAGCTTTTGTGACGTAGGTCCCTATGCTTTAGCACGTAAAAGCAAAATGACGCTCTCCTTGACCCTCCTTCCTCTCTACCTACAGCGTTACGTAATTTAATGACTGTCCCTTATCAGAGAAACCAAACCTTAATTTATTGTTTAATATAACGGAACATTTTAAATCTAAAACATGTAAAACCAGCTAAAGGAGCTCAGGAAAAATGTAAGATGCTTGAGTTATCGAGCAGCAAATTGTCCCACGCTCTTACCTAAATGTTAAGAAAATGAGTTCAGCTCGACGTCAGCTGCTCATATAATTTTGATGTAATCTGGGATCAATATATTATCCCTGTGCTTAAATGAGCCGTTAATAGAAAAAACTATTTATGAAAGACAAAAAACATTATTTGTCCTTTTAGGGTTCTCTGCCTAATACTTAATGTTTTGAAATTATGGTTGTGCTTTTAATACTGTGGCTCAAAGCAACAAGCAATGTAAATGCACTGTTGCTTATTCCTCATGCAGCGAAGCACACATACAATGCGTGCTAATATACTTAAGACAATTTGTATTGATCCTAAAAATTATCAGGTAAAACTGAGCTTCCCTTTATCTTAAAAGAGATATTCGTTGATGAGTCAAGTGGTTTATAATTCTCTGATTCTCAACCTAGGTCAATTTTAAAACGAGAATTTGGGCAGTTTTTGGTTTATCTTCGTCTCGTAAGCTTTAATTAAGTATTTGTTTAATTTTATTATTCCTTGATTAAGTGATAAGGATGCAATCCTCAGACATGTACGGATTAGTTTCTTAAAGAAAAGAAGAAAAAAAAAAGGTTTCAGTAGATCTGATCATCCTCTTAATATTAGTTTTCTTTAATAGTGTAAGAAGGAGCAAGGAGTTCAAGAACACCATTCAAACGGTAAATTTTTCATCCCCGAGATTCAATTTTGTTTTAACTCTAAATTTTATGATCATCGGGTAGTCCTACTTTCCTTATTTGTGATTGCATGAGTTTTAGGAGAATAAAGAAAAATATGTCCATCTTTATGCGGAGGCTGATTAAGGTTTTACTAAGCTCATCCTCGACCTTTGAATCAGAAAAATTACACAAAACAATCTGAATGTTATTTTTAACCATACTCCTGGCTAAGGTGCCTACAGGTGTTTCACATTCGGACAATTTAAACTTAATTTAGAAAAATCCAAGGAGCAACTAGTAGTAGTACGCTATTAGAGAGATTGCGTAGCGTCATTGCGTAAAAGGCGGACAGAAATTTGGTGAGTAGCATTAGTATTCCGGGCAGTTTGACCATCAATTTGAGTGATTTCACAGGTAGAGCAAAGCATACATCTGCACGAAAATTCAATTCAAAATTGATTTTTCAGTTGATAATTTTTTTTTTCATTTCCATCAAATATTGGTTGTCCTGATAACATTTATAACACATTTAATACACGCTAGACGTCGTGGCCACATTCAACTATTTTTGAGTGAGAATTTGAAGATATATTACGAGATTATTTATTCATCGTTCCTTTCCCAGGTTAAAGTGCTTTGGGAATCATTAAATTTGACATGGAACCACCAATATTTAAAAAAAACACACATTATATTATTATTTTCCTTTGATAAATTGATACATATTTTTCCCCATCAATTTAAATGAGAATAATCAATGCAGAGTGTGCTAAAATTTCAAAATCATGAGTTAAAAGACGCTGACTATGCGAGTATAAATATTAAAGCCGAACAGAGCGGATCGGCGTGCTACCAGCGCGAGAGGCTCACTGGCGCCTACAAACCTAAGTGGATACTTCACGCATTGCACAATGCTTGAAGTATCCTCTTAGGTTTGTAGGCGCCAATGCGCGTTTCGCGCTGGCCGCCCGCCCGCCGTGCGGCAGCGCCTGAGGTAACTATTTCACAACAGAGGTGTTGCACAGTATTATACGAAATTGAACGTATTAAGAATGACAGGCATCCTTTAAAAGTACAGATCTTTCCTCGCAAAATAAATCAAGATACTTATCGTACACAGGAAAAATCTAAGAGCCTTTAGCTGAGACAAATCCGCAAATATAGAGGTTCATCCGGTTCAGGTATAACAAGGTAGGAATTTATTGAAAGATAATTAAGGCCTGTTACACCAAAGAGGTGTAAAGAGTTTTAGTGAATTTTGTCTCATGGAATTGACGCTTCCCCATTTTTACCAAAACTCTCAACTATATATTATTCTCCGTTGGACCAAACAGACAAAACAAAAAAACAATCAAACCCTCATTCTTCCAAGACATTATATATTTTCATTCAAAAACGTCGTGAGCAATTGTCGTTTGTATTTACATGTGGGCCAATTAACTTTGGGTCTCAACTGGCACGTGGACCAAAACTCCCGTGCCGAAAAAACGCGTGGACGAAAATTACTGGAAGAAACAGGTGCGCGGACAAAAAATCGTTGACGAAATGTCCTATAACCTAAATAAACCCTGTAAGACAGGATATTTCGAGCTGTTACCAGCTCATTTTCAGCTGCAAAAAACACAAAAAAAGTCCTGCCTTGGAGTGTTTCTAATGTTTTAGCCTTGTTTACCCATGTTTTAATTCCTTCCTCGTTTATTTTTTGTTAGTTAGACGGTTTCTGCTTCGGAGGCAACTTTACTTCAAGATATAAGTTCATTGGGCAACTTTGAACCAACTTCCTCACCGAGCAAATGCAGAGGGGATCATCGACACCGTCAACGTTGAAAGGAATATGATTATCCGAACAGTACTGTATGTAATCGCCTTGAATACCATTACGGAAGCTTTCAACATTCTTATTTATTGGTCGATGCCGTCCTTTAGCCATCAACGTCCGATAATAGCACTGACAAGGCGATTGCTCGAGGAGGGTCATGACGTGTCTCTGATCAGCCCGAACGTGATCCCGGTAGGTCCAACATCATTTCTGCAGGGGCCGTTTTTGTTTGTTGAAACCCTGGGATTCGACGATTTGGTTGTATTTTTAACTGAAGTACTACTGGGATTCGACGGTTTGGTTGTATTTTTAACTAGAGTACTATTGGGATTTGACGGTTTGGTTGTATTTTTAACTGGAGTACTACTGGGATTCGACGGTTTGGTTGTATTTTTAACTAGAGTACTATTACCCAGTGGTATTGATTTTCACAATAGTAAACTGCGAGAGTAGGTACACTGATCAAAAATTTTAAGGGTTGTAAAAGTGTGCTTTTAAGGGTTGCTTAGTTTCCTTTTCAAAAAATTAAACAATTTTTATCATGCTTAATGTGCGAAACAGAGGCCCTCAAAACATCCTCACCCATTGAAACTGAAACAATTTATTTGACCATTGAACATATGGTGTCAATAATATGTCTAACCGTTCTGATGATACAGGAATTGAAGCAAAATGTTAACTACACTCATGTTGACGTCTCATTCTCGTATCAATACTTTTCGGACCAAAAAAAGGAGGACGTTGTCTATCTTCAAGAGCAACTCTCGAAATGGGAGCATGCAAGAATATTTCAGCCATTTGCGAACATGTTGGCGGAACAAGTTTTAAGCGAACCTTTTTCAAAGTTCAAACAGTGAGTATATGGTGATAATATCACCCGAATGACTATTAAGTAGGAAGTATGATGCTTTCGAGTTGTATCTGTGTCATATTTCGATAAAAGCCAAATCAGAGCACCTTTCAACCCTACTAAAAGAAGGCATTTGAATATTCCGACTTCGTCACAATTTTGCTGATGGAATATACGATTTCTTTGGTGTAAAAGTAGCAAATTTTTTGTGGAGGAGAAGGGGAAGGTTCAGGGAGTTTCGTTCGCAAGTGAATTGAAAAAATCCAAAACTCTCAAGGAAAAATATTAATCAAAATCAAAGATAAATATTTTTGTAAAGAAAGTTTGACATTAATTAATTAG